ATGTGTCTCTCACCTGCACCAAGAAGCATTACAACATGAGCATCATGGCCACCATCATGCATCTTCACGTCCACCCTGCTCTTACTACTCCCATTCAATCATTTCCTGGAGAAATTCCAAACAAAATGGATGTTAAGTTCTGGCCAAAAGATCACAAATTTAACACCGTATGAACCCCCATAACCTAAAAACGAAAAGGATGATAAATTCAATCTCATTAAACTTCTAGTCATTACAAAGAAGAACCAAAGCACCATGAGAATCACTTTTAACATTCCCTCCGGAACAGCACAAACTTTCTGTGAACTAAAATATGTGATGACTGAATGAGACCTCAATTATGGCTCAGTTCAGAATTCAGACATCATTGGTTGGAATAAAAACAAAACCAATCAAGATTCTGAAGCAGTTTAGTTGCTGACTTTACCCTTCTCATTGATTTTAAGAGACTTTAGAATTATGGTGTGTTTTTCTAATCCACCTTCCTATCAAACCCCGAGAGCTCAACTCTTTTATGTAGCACTCTTCAACCACACATTAGAGAGCTCATGTGAAGACAACTCAAACTTGACATGTAATAGAAAGAAAATAAATTCATAATTACAGGTTACTGGGTTCTTCTCCATGATTAGTTCAAATGCATGCAAGCGATCTCAGGATTCTAAGTATAGAGAAACAATTACCACATCTTCCCAAAAAACAAAAGACAATCCCAAGCAGCAGGGTTTTTTTGTTGAGATGAAAATGCAGCAAATTCAGACAGAAAATAGAGCATTTACCTCACCATGTCCTGTAAAAAGCGTCTTCATAGCCTGCATAACCATGAATTATTAACACGGGAGATGTGGAATGTTTCATCAATGACTATCAAGAGACACGAATACGTGCAGCATCATTCACTCCGTCCTAAGTATCATCTATTACATCATCAAAGTCAACCCAATAGGACATAATTCATATGACAAACACTACACGTGAACATACCATTATAGGCGATCAGTTCTCCTTTCCGGTACTCGATTAGGTTCATGGAAGCAAAGGGGAATACGACGGTTTGGTTAAGGTCGTAGGGATCAGATTCACTGAAAGTGAGAACAACGAAAAAGACAGAACAAACACGTGAATCTTGATAACCACTAAAAGTCAGCAAAGAATAACACCTAAAAGTCAGCAAAGGACAACACAACAAACTCAAGCAAATAGGCTAGTGGAGGCTTGCCCTGGCTACAGGAAACTAAATATATGGCTATCCAAATCAACCCAAAATTCCCATAAAGAAACTATCTTTCTGGTGTCGGAGATTCCTTCAAGCCTCATCCCCTTTCTATTCTTGCAAGCCCGAGGCCCGGCCAATCCTACTCACTCTAGAGAAACACAAGAGTGCAGGACCTCTCCGTCGTTGTTTCGCCCTACTGCAGAACTCAACGCAGAAAGCATTCTCTAACTTCTAAATTAGATCTATATGAGAATATTAAAGGATGCAGAGGTTCCAATCTAGATGTCCTACTAAATCGATGATACATGACCATCATTGTCCATCAGACTAAAACATTTGCTAGCAAGTCACACCCTAAACCAAATATAATATTACATGATTACTATTTACTTCGAATTGAGAACGCCAAACGTTTGTTTTTACTTGAAGTGAAACCAATGTTAAAAAAGTAACACTAAACTGTAGTGAAAACGTTAGATTTTACTTTGAAAACTGCATGCAAAAACAAAAAAAAAAAAGAGTAAATAGCAGCAAATGGTTGATCTCCTTCGGACCTTATCGATCGAAGCAAACTATACATACCGAGCCTTGTAAGTTGTCCTCCTCTTTTAGTTACTCGTCAAGGCCAGTGGCATCACATGTCTAAACAACCCATGGTAGCTAAACTACCAACAATAAAAGAACTCAATATACAGGCCATAAACCGAAGGCAAGCAAAAATTTAGGGATGTTAAGTAGTCACCATCTTCCCATTAAAGTTTGTCTAACTCTAATTATAATGCGAAAGCGATTTGAAATCGGAAAAAAACTAATCAATTTTATATCGTGCATTCACATTAAAATGTAGAGTTCCATGGGGTCACATGAATATTCATGAATTACGGACTAACATGTTTATATGAGGACAAATCTGCTACCAACCAAGCACATTTTTATCTCCAACTCTAACAAACCAATATAAACTGTGCAGAGAAAACAATAGACGCGGAAGAAAAAACTGCAGACTGTTAATTGGAGTATCGAAAAAGCAAACCAGCTTGTGAAACTACCACCCTTTCCTTGCTGTCACATTTAGTTCCTGCACAGACAACCTTCTCTACTTCCGACCTTGCATGCCACAGCTTGATTCACTGTCTCTTCTTCCCCTCTCAATTACATAACTCTAAGCATATCCACCACACGATAAGCTATTAATACAAATCAAAAGAGGAACTATAAGAAAAGGCTAAACAGAACCTGAAAGATTCATTCTCTATTTGATCAATTTACTCGTTACCAATTGACTTAAACACCTGACATGTATGTCCTCATGAATGGAAGCCAATTTCAACACTCAGAGATTCCCATCTTCTCGTTATGTTAGCAAAAGGAAGCAGGCATGCCCGACCCAGAACAGAGCGTGGAACAGCTTATCTAGTCCTAACATAAGTAAAACACTATACAGCAAGAAGTAAAAAAACTATAAAAAATCAAGAAAAATACTCATCCACATACTCACAGTACCACTTACATTTATGTGTTGGAAGAATTCATTCACTGTAAACAAACAAAGCTTTCAACCCATATCATCGTGACACACATGAGAATTGATTTAATGAATAATTCATTGTTACTCTGGTCTAGGATCCCATGCAAAAAGACATATGATATATTCATCAATTCTACCACCTAGGATACAAATTAGTTACCTAAAGTGTAAATACTGGCAGTTGCTTTTTCTCTCTCAATAAGGCAGCTTCATACACAGAAGGGATTAAAAGTTTCCATATCCTTTATGTAACTAAAAGGAAGGCATGATGACATTTAAACATGATCAAAACATGGATAAAGAGCACTAACCAAAAGTTTTGAACATAAGGCAAAAGGTCCTTTAGCCGAATATATGATGACAAAAACCAAGACATCAAGCACCCAATAGGTAGTTCTGAAACACCACTTGACGAACCTAATTATCATATTGAAGATGGTGCGAAAGTGAAGCAGAACCTCAGTTTACTCAAATAAAATTGAAGGTGGCATGAAGGATTAGGGCTTGGTCAATATAGTAGGATTGGGTTGTACTCACCTGATGACGGGGTCCAATGTAGAAGGGTAGTTGAACACTTGCATATTTGACGGGTCATAAAGGTATCAGAAAATGAGATATGCTTAATGCTAAAGCCAAAGCTAAAGAAAATTTCTAACATATACGTAGAATGCATTATCCCACTCCTCCAGTCCTGAGTCCCTTTAGAAGATCCTTTAACATGAGGTAATGAAACTGCCACTGCCTTGCCATTCGCAGAGCGCCCTCAAACCATCTGCATAACCATGGAAATGGGAGGACACAGCCACGTTAGTTTTCACCAAATTTCAATATGATCTAGCAATAGATGACAAAAAAGAGCTTTAATTTACCTTTTGATAATTTGGGTTTGAGGCACTGAATGCGAATCACTGGGATAGTGGAATCTCCCTACTCCATGGTTCGTAACCTGTAAGTAGTTTATTACATGGGTGAAGTATCTGGATAAAGAATCCTAAGATTTCCAAGGCTGACTCTCGGAAGAGATCACATAAAGTGCAGATTAATAGTGGTAGCGAGATTACATGTCAAGTCATGGCATCCAACTCGTTTCAAAAATTCGACAGCAGCTCGGTTGTTTTGAAATATTATTGAGACAACTCCAGGTTGTCGTGGACCACGATCCAGGCTCCAAATATACACATTATATTAAGCAACTGAAGCAATTTGGAAACCCGTTTAAGACTTTAAGTATACCAATTATAGAGAACCACCACCAAAGGTAGACAACCACTTTAGAGGCATAAGTGTACCCCTTTCTGGAGTGCATTGAGAAGAGCAAGTATGCAAGCTTTCATGAGAAGAATAACATACTTAAAATCTGCAGAGCAAGCATGTCAAGAACGACCACCAGCCATAATAATAATATCATTAGGAGCCTCTATGTTTTTCACTGTGGGATAAGAATTAGATATAACGTACCTACAGTTTGATAAACAACTTAAGTTTTGAAATATGTATTGGAAGTACTCAAACAGTCATGTTAAGTCTAGAAACAGAAGATTCATGTTTGCCATCAGCCAGGTACTTGAAATACAAAGAAGGAAGAAAATGGGCAAGTAAGGCTTCCACTACTTTCCATTATGAGATTAAATGATTAATACCCCAATTATGAGAAAATGATTAATACCCCAATTATGAGAAAATGGAAAAGTTGATTAAGAAAATGCTTGTAGCGTTAGATAAGCCGATTTGTTAATGGAGTGCCATAAATGTGGAGGATCATTTGTCAAAGGCTGAGCTGTTCCAGAGCTAATCACCTTCCCTGATGGAGATTTCAATGATATGGCAGACACTCAACCACTCCAGCCTAGCAGCTACAGATCTGCAAGTGTAAAGGAAGGAAAAGGAATCACTAATTAGATATCCTAAAACATAAGGCAAAAAAAGCTGAGATTGAAACCTTGAAATCCCACAATCGAAGTGTAGAAAGAAAGAAGCAAGCAAGAAAGAGAAGGGTCAATAACTTTATGATTCCAAGAGGTGTACCATAGACAAAAATCAGTAGAGATTTGTCAGAAGCCAAAGCAGATTATCTTACCATCTAACATATGCAAAACATACATACTTCTTTCTTATCGACATACAAAAAGTTGCTCCTCTTACCAAGCTTGCGCAATCAAGGGTCGCCATTCACCAGCAAAACTATAGGCTATATTAACTTGAATAAATGACACCTTCCAGAACTTGCTTTGTTTCTTCCTCAACTCCATCACAGTTGAATAGTAATTTCGAGTTTATATGACTATATGAACTTGCTTTATCGTCAGGAAGCACCACATGAGATTTATCTGAAGACGTTCAAGAAAAAGAAATCATGATGTTAGTTGACCACCCACAATTAATGGAAGTTCACCAAAAAAGACCAGGAAACGATGATCAAAACCAACCAGATGAGTCTTAACTAATACTCATTTTCTTGAATCATGAAAGGATACCCAAAATATGCTATTTATACCAGAGACTAAGCACCAACACTAATTATGACTACTGTTATGAACTGATGAAAATTCCATCCTCTACATAACAATAACAAACAACTATGGAATAATTCGAAATCGACAGATGACATGTTGGAAGCTTATGAGTTAATATTTACCAATGAAAGGAGGAAAGTGAAACAAACGCAAACAAATTGCAAGAAATCACACCCATAACAAAAGGGTTCCTTCCCAACACTTGTCTGCCCACAGCAAGTAATTCACATGCTCCAAGAACACATTGGAGGAAAAGGAAATAGAACATTATAATTGCATAACCTAAAGAGCGTGCCTTATCAAATGGTGAACCTTGAACTCGTAAGTAATTAAGCCACTTCTATATTGAAACAACTAATTACCCAAAAAAATCCTAGGTGAGATGCTCATAAATCATTTATCATGCAAGAGGACAACAAAATAGCCAGCAAAGCTCTGAATTTCTAACACCCAAGAACTTTATAGCAGTTCACCATATTTTGATAAAGTGCCTTTGATTTAGCACACTCCAAAACATGAATCAAATGAGAAAGATATACTCTGCAAAAACAGCAAGTAAGAGTAATTGATCAGAGAAAAGAAGAATGGGATAACTAACTGGGGAGAATGAACTGAAAAGAGTGAGTCACCTGTTGAGGCATTCCTCACTGAATCCGCGCCGCCGTGCATCCATTCATCTTCCAATATGGAGTTGACCTTACCACCGCTGACGTGGACCTCACTCCAATCTTGCTCCAACATTGGGTTTTTTTAGGAGAGGAGTTCAGCTGCTTACACGCCGATCAACTCTCTTTTTTTTTGGAAAAGCTTGAGCCATCTTTTGAATTTCCTCTCCTCTCCGATTCCGATGCTCGCAGGTGAGAATGGGAGAGAAACAACTTGATTAGAACTTTAAGCGGAGAAAAGTTTTGGGAGAATCAAACAACGAATCATAAACAGAAAACAAACCCAGTTGAAAGAGCTACAACAATCACCTTAAACCAAAACCCGAATCCACAAAGCAGTGATGGCGCAGGCAGAGAACTGTAAGCTGGATCCTCACGACAACTCGGGCCACCCAGAACCCTCCCTGCATAACAAAAAAAGAGAGCCAAGATCAAAACACGAAGGTCGTGCAGGAACGATACAGGCATTAAGCGTAAAAAGCAATCCCCCTAACCTACCAGCGAATCATCTAAAAAGCACCTGACGCAAGAAAGTGTCCCTGCGACCAAAGCGAAGAGAGCATAGATTAGATTATAACTGCTACAACACAAAGAAATCGAGATAGAGGAACCATAAAAACAAAAGAGATAGTACCTGCGAGCGTCAATAATCTTCCGACAAATCAATCTCAAGAGCCCTCGCAGACCTGGGTCTCTACAAAACTTTCCCATTACTGTAAAATTTGGGCATTGATCACACCAAACCCAGTCCATCTCCGAGGCAAAGAGATAAGAAACACCAGAGCAAAGGGAAGAGAGACCACAACCATCATAGAAGAGCTATTGTTGCCGCCTCTGAATCGGTTAACAACTCCAACGTTAGTGCTTTGTCTGGTCCTGAGCAAGATTGAGAGAGAACACCCACCAAAAATTGCACTGCATCCGCGACTCCTAAGCACCAGAGAAGAGAGGGTTAGAGCCTAGAGGCAAATAAGAAACCATACACCATTCTTTCTCTCCCATTCCTTACTCATACGTCTTTCATTTCTCTCTCAACAACAATACAGTCTCACCTCATCTCTCTCTCTCTCTCTCTCTCTCTTTCTCGGAGCCGAGGTAGTTGCGAAACGCCAGGGAATCGTCGATACCCCGCGATTTTGAGCGTCCTTCATCGACAAAGAGAAGATTCGGAGATGCTTTCGCTCTCATCTCGGAGGCGAGGTAATTGTCAGCGACCAGGGAATCGTCGATCACCCGCCGGTTGTGAGGATCCATTTTCGACGAAGCGGAGATTCGAAGATGGTGCGGGGCCGATTCTCCAGCCAGAGCAAGATTGAGAGAGAACACCCACCAAAAATTGCACTGCATCCGCGACTCCTAAGCACCAGAGTCTCCAATAACATCTTATTCCAATGACCAGCATCTCTGCAACACACAAATTAAGAGAGAGAAATGAGAGTCCGATGAGAAAAGAAGGGATGGGAGAGAAGGAAAAGGATGTGCAGTGAATAAAAAAGAGGGTTCTTATTTGCCTCTGACCCTCTCTCCAAGGCCACTCAGCTTCCTTGTGAAGGATCGCACTACCCGAGAAACCCTTGGGACCCGAAGACCTTCACTCTTTCCAAACCTTCGTCATCATCACCAATAAGACCAGATGGAAAAAGTACACTGGATTTGAGGCCGGCGCGAAACTCGAAGACCCAACACAACAAAAGGAAGTCGTAAAGGAGCTGGAAACCGGCGGGCAAGCAACCAGCAACTCCTTTGGACAACATCAGGGCCCACGCCAAGCAGCCAACCAATCAGAAGCAGGTGAATAGTAAAATTGAGTCTGTATGACCAGTACAACGTGTCTTGTGCTACAGTGATCGGCGTTAGTGGAAATTATTTCTCTTAATAATTAAAAAAAAAACGACCCAATCCGACACACGTAAAACTCGACCTCGACCAAAACTTCGTCAATACTGTGTTCAACTCGCTTTAGTCGGGTCGACATTAGGCCAAACATCCATTGATTCAAGCATGCAAAACTCATTGTCGACCCAAAATTTGTCAATGTCCGGTTTAACACGCTCACGCCGAGTGGAATTAGGTCAGATACTTATTGATTTTTGTCCAGTTTGGGCTCAATTGTCATAAGTTAATTAATTAGAACGTTAATGGCACAAAAACTCCTCCAAAGTTTACAAAAGTTGGTAAAATCTGTTGCCGATAAAAAAGTCGGCAGCACCGAAACCGGATCGAATTAGATTGAGTACACCCGACTCAACAAAAGCGGGTAAAATTTGTTCCCAACCAAAATCTGGCAACATCGGGACTGGGTCGAATCAGGTTGAATATAGTTTTTAACAAAAGCGACAGACAACCCAATTCGTCATTTACAAAAGTTGGTAACATATGTTGCCGACCAAAAATTCGGCAACACCGAAACCGGATCGAATTAAATTGAGTACACATGAATTTAGGTACATAAAAAGAAATCATTAAACATAAGATTAATGAAAGAGAGAGAGAGGGAGGGATGAAGATTGATGGAGGGGGGAGGAGTTACGGGAGTGGTGAAAATGAATGGATGGGAATAAGTGCAGGAGAGAGGAAAGGAATAAAGAAATAAAACATAATTGCATTTTTAGTCCTCAGTAAAGTCTTGGTTAATGGTTAATTACAAAAGAGAGCCACCTATGCATGTCAGAACTCAGAAGAAGGGCCAATCAGAAAGGAGAACAAGAGGCAAAAAAGCAAACCAAGTCACAGTGTTTGGATGTGACTCTAAGAAACAGTAAAGTTGTAACTTGTTCTTTTAAAGAGATAATGTTCAATTTTGTTGGTCGATCAGAATCTCTCATCGAATGTAAACCCCTTCTTCAAAATGCAGCCGTGCTTGTCTCCAGTAGTTCCCCGTCATACTTTCCAAAATTGTATCGACACGAGACCGTCGGATCTTGGCAGTCATTTTATACTACAGTAACGAAAAGAAGAAAAACAAAAACCCTTTTATTCATCGAGTAAGTAGCTAGGTTACGTACACAACCTTCAACACATTGCGTACTCTACTCGCGGGAGTATAGTACGCGTATGCGACTGAATTCCCATCACCATAACCATAGTCTATAGAATCGATGTTGGAGCCCCACCATCACCGTATCTAATTAACGACTAGTCCAATGCGCAGAAGTCGTAATAAGCTGACTCATACCTCACACAGCAATTATCTAACAAGACAGTTCCTCCAGCTCGGCCTTGACACCCTTGTTCCAGGCGGGCGAAGCCTGTTCCGAAACAGTCACGGCAGTTGTCGCTAGGCGCGTCGTCGCAACTAAAATAGGCTGCCGCTGTGACCTGACTACCATCTGCGTACGCAAAATCCCTCTTGTAGCAACCCGTGATGTTGCCGGCTTGAAATACATTTCCCGAAAAGCCATGGAATATGGAACGTTGACGGTCATCTGACGGCGCAGGGAGCGGATCCAGGCTGCACCTCCCTGTGCTGTCACTTCCATGGCATGGCTGATCATTGAAGCAGCTCACCGCCGGCAGGGAACAAAACATGGTGCAAATTATTGCTAGCACAAGGGTAGTAGTAACCGTGGTTACTGCTTCTGTTGACATCCTCTTCGCCATGAATTCTTCACTTCTCCCCCACTCCTGATCACTTTTGCTCTTCTTTTTTGTTGGGGTGGAGGTGCATGGTTGATGGATGGATCGCCGCCCTTATATACTCGACTTCGGCAGCTCGAGAATCACGAGAGGCTAACAGAGTTTGGCCCGCACCAGGCAGTTGGATTCGCATTGTTTTGTTCGACGATGAAGACATAATCGAGAAGAGAGTGAAGGAATCAGTCTGCTCAGGAACGGGGCGTGCAGATGAATACAAAGAAGGCGGTTCAGCCAATGATGCAACAGTTGAGGTGGTGTAAACACTGAAGACTGAACTAGTACTACAACAATTTTTGTCCAGTCTGGCGGGGCTATCTTTAAGCAAGAATATGGTTCTTATGACCGGGACTGGAAGGGGTAAACGGATTGGCGACCAATATGTCCCATTTTGCTAGCCGGCGACAACAGGTACTTATACGTACTATAGCTGGCCTGCAGGCTCTTAGGCTTTAATATCAGGAATATACGAACGGTAATTTACCACATTAATCATCGTGTGTATGATCATCAGACATCAGTTACCATTCCTATATCAGGGTGATACATTTTGGTGCTGTATTTTTTCTCCATAAATTTGTAGATTGAATAAATAACGATGAACACGTTCCATCTGTGCAATTTTTTTCCCCCCAAAATTCGTGTTAAAAACGAAGGTGGTAACGAATGGTATGAAATTTTGTTTGTCGATCGCAATATGTTGAAAATGAATCCCATTTGCAGGATCACAACAAACTCGTTCCATCTAATTTGTATAAAATTTTGAACTCCAGAAGAGGTAAGAGTCGATTAAGAAAACCAGGAAAAATAAAAAAAAAATCCTTAATTCTCACTCGTTATATCTGGATCCTTCTGGTTCCACTCAAAATTAATAGCTCAGATTTGGTCATGTAAGAGTGCATGATCAAGGGTTATGCAGCCAATAAGATAGCGAAAGTTCGGCATAACAAAAGCGTAATGATGGTATGGGTGTTTCATCGAGCAAAGAAACCCCCTTTATTCATCGAGCAGGTACACAACCCTTGAACACATTGAGTACTCTACTCGATCGGCGTACGTACGTAACGTAGTAAACAAAAGCAGAAACCATGCAAATCCAACAAACCTAGCTAGCTAGGTGCAGATGTTGTAAGCTGTCTCGTACCTAAAACAACAGTAGTTCTCAAACAAGACGCTCCCTCCGGCTCGGCCACGGCACCCTTGTTCCATGCGGGTGATGCCATAATTGAAACACAGACGGCACCTTATACCGGGCGTGACGTCGCAGGTAAAAGAGGCGTACACCGTGTACAGGTTATGATCCTCATCAACGTAGTCTCTCGTGTAGCAACCGACTCTTTTGCCTCTGTCGAATTGTTTGCTCCGAAAACCATCGAAGATGTCTTCCAGCTGAAAGGGACCCGCCGGCAAAGGATATGCGCTGCACCTCCCTTTCTCGTCACTTCCTGCGCATAACGTAGCATCGAAGCAGCTTACCATGCAGCACATGGTGCAAATCGCTAGCAGGGTTATTACCATCATCGCTGCGACTAACATCCTCGCCATTTGAACATAACGTATTTACGATGTGCTAGCTTGTTTATATAGTAACACGAGAGGGCCCTATATGGAGTGCTTGGCCTGCAGATCAGGCAAGTTGGGTTCGATTTATTTTGTTCGACGATTACGACAGAACGAAAGGGAGAGTGGAAGAATCAGTCTGCCGAGGAAACTGGCATGCAGATGAAGATAGAGAAGGCGGTTCAGACAATGATGCATATATAGATGATGAATCATTACCATATTGACAATAACTCCAAGAAGTTGGCTGAGAACCCTAGACTTAATTATTTGGTTTCTATCTATCTATTAGTTTGATTTTTTCCCCTATTCGTCTCTTAGTTTAAATATGGATAGAGTTGGTTTCATCTCGTTCACTCTGAGTTTTAATTTGATTTCATGTTGTTCGTCTCTTAGTTTAAATAGGCAAGAATAATTTTGGCCACTACATGACAAGGTATGTCAGCCGACATTAAAAATTGATATTTTTCTCTCATATGATGGACACAGATTGTGGGCATTGGGATTGGTGTTGGTGGCAGAGACTTAGTAAAAAATTTTGCCTGCACTTTAAAATTTAGGGAAAATTTTAACAAAGACTCCTGGTACTTAGTTTGAGTTTGGGTTAGAAATGAATTCTTGGTCTTTTAGGGGTGTCATGAGACATTCCTAAAATTTGAAGATCTCCAATTAGTAGTTTGAATTTGGAGGAGAAAAAAATTCAATAAGTGATAGTCTTTGTGGTTCAAACTCACAGCACGATAATTATTAAAGAAACAGTTATCCATTACACTAAAACCAACTGTGGTTATGTTTAAAAAAATAATTATAATTATAATCTAAAACAAAGTTGGATTAAACCTAAATTTCCAAAATTTTCATCCAAACCCTGAAAATTAAATTCTCGATTCTCCGCCCTTCTTATAGTGACGAATCTTGCATCATTATCAGGTTAATTGAATTATTGTAGACGGTTCTTGATATTCAACTGCAAGAGCTAAACTACCGCTTTGATGAGGTGAATACAAGATTGTTGACTTGTATGACTTGTTTTAATTCGCAGGTTGAATGTGTTGCTTTTAAAAAAGAGGAACTAATAAGGCTTATTAGATTTTATCCTAAAGAGTTTGGTCGTCTTTATAACTCAATTCTCTTATGATATTTTGATGATTATTATAACAGTACCAAGAAAGATAAATTATTCCTTTCATTAAAAGGAATTGATGAATTCGGTTAGTTAATGGCGAAGACAAAGTTTCGACATGACAAAAGCTTTATTCATCGAGCAAAAGTACAAACACCTTCAACACATTGAGTACTCTACTCGGATCGGAGTTCGCACAAAAACAAAAACAACAACCACAAGCAACTTGGTAGCCGTGATTTTTTTCTCAGCGATTCATCAAATGGCGTAACAAAGAAGAGTTTGTGAAACTGAAAACCCTAGAATCCTGTCCTTTCTCATTGCTTTGTCTGCCTTATATAGGCGATACAGAAGTGAAGGAGACAAGCTCCATTACAGCTTGTTTGGAAGCTTGGAAGGGAAACAAACAAAACTTGGCGGAAAAGAAAGTACAGACATAAAAGGGAAGGTAAAAACGACAGCGGATATAGTCTCGGAATTAAATCAGCTGCGCAGTGGACAAGTAGAAACGGTGTCGCAGCGAGGGAGTCCAGCGATGAGAAGAAAAACGTCGTCGTCCTCGAATCCGACCGTTGGAGACGAGGGAAAAGTTGAAAACTGGATTTTCAATCTGATATGGCGTACACCATGCATGAGTCCTGATCGATCACCACCATATATATAGCTAGTTAATGATGACGATGATGTCCGCAGATGTTGTAAGCCGTCTCGTACCTGACACAATAGTCGCGCATCAAGATGGTCCCTCCGGCTCGGGCCTTGCACCCTTCTTCGAGGATGTTGAAGCCATCAGACAAACACTGGCGGCACGCCTCGCTAGGCGCGCCGTCGCAAGTAAACGAGGCGTGCGCTAGAAAATCATCGTCGTGTCTTCTGGAGTAGCAACCCGTAACGTTGCCGTCTTTGAAGTCGAATATCATAAAACTAAGCATCATGTCGTCTTGAGCTGCTCGTGTCGGCACGGGGAGCGGATCCGTGCTGCACATCCCCGTGCTGCCACTTCCTGCGCATAAGCTAGTGTCGAAGCTGCTCACCTGCAGCCAACAAAACATGGTGCAAATTGCTACTGCGAATATCCTCTTGGCCATTCTTGACTCCCTCTTCTCGTTTTTTTTTTTTTTCTTTTCCTTTCCTTTCCTTTCTGTTGGGCTGGAGGGTACGTGTTTGATGGATGGATATGGATGCGTTAAGGTGATTGCCTTATAATATATCAACGTACAGGACGAAAGGAGAGTGAAGGAATCAGTCTACCTAGGAACTTGGCATGCAGATAGATATAAAAGAAGGCGGTTCCGCCAACGATGATTCAGTGCAGCAGTAGTTGATATGATGTAAACTGTAAACACTGAATTACTACAGCAGTTTTGGTTTTTATGTGAGAGTCATGTGTTTTCCTTATTAGTATAGGGGCTATTATATGGGTAAGATGTCATTGTAGTCTCTATATAAATTCTTTGTAGTTTTAGTAATAAGATACAAATATTTATTTATCATATTAAATATATTTACTAACAAAGTTTTTAATATTTCTCGAACTACTCTAATTTATTATTAAGGATAAACATGTTATTTAATATATATATTTTTATTTTCATTGAATGTTAACAATCACAATTACCAAACAATAAACATTTTAAAATCTATTTTCAACAATCCGAAGAGTTAGGCGGTGGTGGATTTTGGCCACTACATGACAAAGTCTGTTAGGCGGTGGCGGAGCTAGGATTCGAAACTACTCATGGCAATTTATTTGATTAATGTGATAGGTTCTTTTATGGAAGGTCGAATTTTTAACAACATAGATGATTGATTGATTGTAATGCTAACAAATGGTAGCCGGTTGTGGATGTGATATCAAATATTTATGGAGAAGATAAAGGAGTCACTAGACTACACAGGTTGTGTACAGGGGCGGATCCAGAGTCCTGGACACCTTTAAAATTTAGAGAATATTTTAACTACTCTTGGTACTAATTTGAGTTTGGGGTAGAGACGGATTCATGGTCTTTCAGGAGTGCCATGGGACGTCCCTAAAATTTGAAGATCTCCAAGTAGTAGTTTGAATTTGGAGGAGAAGAAAATTCAATAGGTGATAGTCTTTGTGATTCAAACTAATCGCACTATCATTATTACACTACAAATCAATTGTTGTTATGCTTAAAAAATAAATATAATTATAATCTAAAACAAATTTGGAACCCTAATTTCCGCAATTTTCATCCAAACCTTCAAAACTAAATTTTCAACCCCCGCCCTTCTTATAGTGGCGAATCTTGCATCATTATCAGGTTAATTGAATTGTTGTAGGCGGGCGATTCATGATATTCAACTGCAAAAGCTAAACTACCGCTTTGATGAGGTGAATACAAGATTGTTGACTTGTATGACTTGTTTTAGTTCGCAGGTTGAATGTGTTGCTTTTAACAAAGAGGAACTAATAAGGCTTACTAAATTTTATCCTAATGAATTTGATCGTCTTTATAACTCAATTCTCTTATGATATTTTGATGATTATTATCACAGTACCAAGAATGATAAATTATTCCTTTCATTAAAAGGAATTGATGAATTCGGTTAGTTAATGATGAATCGCTGATCATCACCGCCATATATATAGCTAGTTAATGATGACGATGATTGCCTTATATATCAACAGGACGAAAGGAGAGTGAAGGAATCAGTCTACCTAGGAACTTGGCATGCAGATAGATATAAAAGAAGGCGGTTCCGCCAACGAGGATGCAGCGCAGGCGCAGCAGTAGTTGATATGATGTAAACTGTAAACACTGAATTAATACAGCAGTTTTGGTTTTTATGTGAGAGTCATGTGTTTTCCTTATTAGTATAGGGGGTATTATATGGGTAAGATGTCATTGTAGTCTCTATATAAATTATTTGTAGTTTTAATAATAAGATACAACAATTTTCATTGAATTCTGATTTATTAACATGGTATTAGAGTTTTTTTTTCCCATTCGGATATTTCCAACGATCCCATTTGTTAATTAAGTGCATTATTGAATATAGATGTAAACTTCAAGCCCATATGAGTTGGTTTCTTTTGAGAGGGCGTGTTAGTAATATGATATAAGATTCCATTATTGAATATTGTCCAATATAACTCGAGTTATTGTGATGAAACGATTCATTCGAATTATATATGTCCGCTTAGAACTTGGTGATATAATCTACTTGCCCTGCCCTCATCCTGAAGGTGAAGTTGGACCCCAACTTACCGAGTGAATTTTGAACCATTAGTTTATGTCGGATACTTTATACATTGACATCTAAGATTATATCCAACTGTCTGTAAGGTAGTCTGTTTTTTACATTATTTCAGAGTCACAAAATGCCTTCATCTCGCGGGTTGATTGATTACGTACGTATCACGTTATCACGACTTGTGAATGTTTCTTATCATATTCTTCTATATATAAAAACTGGGTACACTTTTTGCCTGTTACTGTATCATTTTCTGTCTTTTAGCGCCTATCAAACTCTTCGCGCGAAACCTTCCCCATCCAACTACTTTCTCTCCCCAGTTCTTCCCTAAATCCCGCAGGCGACCATGCCGCTCCCTACAACCTGTACTCCACTGCTGTGCTTGGTCCTTATTACAGTAGTCGACCAACCTTTCATCAAATGCTGCAACACGCCATCGCTGAACAAGGGCTCTGCACGCAACCGGTACAAATCTTGCAAAATTGATTGCTACCTGCTCACACACGCCACCACCCATGTTTCTTACCATCATCGCCTTGCTTCCCTCGCATAGTGGAAGAGTGAGCTTCTCTCTTCCCCGCTTTGACGCCAGGCTATCTGACTCAAAACTTTCTTGCTCACTGATCTTTGCGGTCGGCGGCGGGTACTGCTACCACCAACCAATGGCGGTGGGTAGTTCATCTTTCTTCTTCCCCTATATTTGATGGAAAAATTGATGCTCTTGCCAATTGCTTTTGTTGGAATGGAGTTTAGTTATAGGTTCTGCCGACACCTTATGTGGTGTGTGGCGTTCCATTCCCCCCCGGTTCTTCTGCTGAGGTTTTGTTCATTTCTCTTTCCCTTCTCCAGCGATTTCCTTCAAGGTGGATAGGTATCAGCTCTACTCGGTTTCCTTCGTCACCCGCCTCTACCTTCCGCCGCTGCTTTGTGCTGCAGAAGACGAACCTCTTCGATGGCGTTCGCCAAAGCCCAAGGTACTCGGTGTGCTCAGTCACGGAGAAGGAAAAGATGGGGAAAACAAGGTACCTGGCGGTAAAACACAAGCGCCGATCTTCCGGGCAACGCGAATCCAATTGTGGCGGCACTGATCTTCTCTTTCTATATTTCTCTCTTCTTGCTTTAAAATTGTGATCTCAACTCATTCCCCTAGAAGTCCATTTTCCATTCATGTTCTTGCAGGGTGCGGATTGAAGAAGGGTCTCATTGTCTCTGTCTATCTACAAGTAAGATTAAGTCATTGGGTATTTTTGTTTATTTGTTCTATTTGATTGAAAATGAGAATAACCTTTTCTTCTTGGTGGTTGTGCCATTCTGTGCGAGGCTGAGAAAGAACGTACCAGGTTTGTTTCAAAATCAATTTCCTTCTCCATTTTCGCTGCTTTCATTTGCGGTTGGTTTAATGCTTTAAATGGGAAAAAAAGCCTTACAAACTAATGGAATGCATATAATTGGGTTATCTGTGGGTTTGTTGCGTTTAATTAGCATTGGACTCATTAGGTTCAATTAGTTAGTACACAGAGATCTGTTGGTTATAGTAGTGCAAGGAATGCAAAGGTTTATATAGCATAAAAGGAGATTGGCTTATGTAATATGCTCTGTTTTTTTTTCTCTTGCAGAGGTTTGTGGATTGTGAAGCCTGCCAACCATTTGGAAGAGGTTTATTGAGATGCCAAGTACCTCATACTCTCTGTTTCCATATTGGAGAATCGTTGCCACCCTAGGGAGAGGGCTGAGAAGGCTGTTGCAGTGCCGAATGATGTCGTTGGCATCGGCTGAAGGGGGAGGGGAAGAAAATTCAATGCAAGGTGGAGAAGGCAATATACGGACTGGAAGCCGGCAGAGAAGATGGAGTTCAACACTAGAAGTGGAGGTCTTCTGGAATGATGCCAATCACTTGAAACAAACCATGTATACAATTAGAAGGCGAGTCCTCAGATGTTTTTGATCGTCTCTCATACTTTCGGAAAGAGGAAGGAAGTGAGGAAGAAATTCAGTTAGGAAAAGATCTGGCTCACCAATGAGATAATTCACTACCCAACTGTTGATAAGGTTTGAATACCTGAGTTTGAAATTATTGATTTTTTGTTATGGAGTTTGTTTAGTTTACTGAACCTAGCTTTGTGCTTTGGTTCTGGTATCTACGGCTGAGTTATAATCAGCTCGCCTAAGCAAGCCAGTACTGCTCACCCTTCCTTTGTCGCTCTGGCTTATAAATGTGGGTGTTTATACAAAGATGTTATATTTATACTTAAACTGCTTCTCTTAGATTATTTTGTATAGGTTTGCTATTGACTGTTTTGTATTGCATTGGATGTACAACATAAAGTGAAGCTCAAACCCCATGTATAGTTGTTCTCTCTTTTGTTAGCTGATTTAGAAAATTCACTTGCTCACTTATCTTAGTCAGCTTTGGTGATGTTGTTCGGACTATTGGGGTCGTGCCAGCTGAATATGAAAGTCCTGAGAAGGCCGTGACAATATACTCTGAATCCTTCAAGACGATTCCCGAGCTTCAGATTGTTCAATTCACTGCTGTCATGGTAAGTTCTTTCTCCTTTCTGGATTTCTCTACCAATGCATTATTCTTGCTTGCTTTCAACTTACTGAACTGTTGGTTGGGACCAATTTAAGATGGAGCATGTTTCGTTAGTGAGTTGACTGTTTAGTTGTTGAGATAACCACCAATTTCTCACTCTCTCACTCTCTCATGAATGGATGGTCACTAAATGTTCTGTGCTTCTGGTTGGCAGCCTAACTTTAATAATTTCTGATCCTTCTGAAGGCATGTGTGGAAGGAAGCTCGATCTATGCTTCAGAAGATATTATCATGTACCATGAGCAAATCAACTGAAGTTCGATACCCAAAAATTTAACTGACCATGTTTCTCTAACCTATCCTCATAAAGAATTTCGATTGACTTCTTTCATTGCAGCTACTGAACTGAAGTTCAGATAATAGCAGTTTGAGGGACAAATCACTTATGCAATTGTGAGATAACTAGAGCTTTGTACAGGTTGAAAATGTTTCTTTTTTTTTTGTCAAGCGTATGATGTCCCACCGAAAATTGCCAGAACTTTCTTTGGCTGTATACCGGGAAGGAAGATATGAGCATACCTGTGTTTTGTCTCTTCAAGCGTTCAAGATTTTGTCAATGAGGTGCTAAGATTAACGGGTCGTTTGCTTCATGGATTTGAAAAATGAGGGTTTTGGTAAAACCTGGATTTTGGAAAACCATGGATATATGATGGATTTGGTGGCATTATGGATTTGAACAAGTCTATTGTTTGCTTGATGGATTTGATTATGGACTTTGTTTGATTAGATTTGTGGATATTAAATACAAATTACCTAGTTACCCTTATTTAATTATATTTCTATATTATAATCCAAATCCTTCATTTAAAACTAATCCAAAACAAAGAAAGAAATTTTAAACTCTTTACCACTATGTGGATTAATAATTCAACTACAAATATAGAAATGTATTACAATTTGGCACTAATTAACAATTCATCTAATAATCCTTCATAAAAAAACAATTCATCTAATAATGTACGCAATAATATGTATCAATTGCAGCCAATTGCTCGCTTTATTGCTACAACTCATCATCTTCTTGCTAACTCACCGATACGGAATCCGACAATCAATCAAGTAATAATGTACAAGATGAACATAAAGTATTTCTAGGTGAATCTAACAAATCACATATACATTCATATTTAAATAAAATACGATATTACAAAATGAAATGATAAATTCTCATATTTATAAAATACGAAATTATAAAAGTTTACCGTTGCATGACCATTGAATTAAAGTAGGACAAATTTGTAATTAAAGAAATAAGTATGGGTAGAAAGGTAATTTACCATCATGGATTTTAATCCATCACCCAAATCCCACCTCAAGAGGTGGAACTTCCAAGTCCGTGGGGTCCACGGATTTGGAACCCCAAAAGTGGTGGGCCCCACAAATTCCATCTCCCTAATTCCCTAAGGCAAACGATGGATTTCGGTTCAAGTCCATGATGGATATATTTCCATCACCAAATCCATCACCAAAACCCTCCAGCAAACGACCCCTTAACTTTATCCATATTGGATTCTACTATTGTGATTCAGCTTTGCCTGCAAGAGTTTATTTCCTTAGTAAAATCCGAGTCTTTCTCGAGTTCTTCTCTTTCATCGTCTGATTTTTGGTTTCTACAAGGAATAACAGCAGGCAGGGAATGGATTCATTTCGATATATGGGCGATAGACCACAAAGGAAAAGAAAAACCGATAGATGGATTTATGTGGATGTTATTGGTTAGAGAATTTATGTGGATGGTAATGGTATTGGGTTGTGGGGCTATTTATTGGAGGAAAGGATTTCATGTGTAGTTTTGTGGCAGTTTAAGTTGATATGTTCCTGTTTAAGAAGCACGAGGAGACTGAGGTCCCAGGTCCTTACAACGGGCACAAGGTTTTGAGCAGCTAGGGTACGAGGGAACTGAAGCCAGCAAGTAGATTTTTCTGCTGTTGCTACCCTAGATAAAAAAAACAAAAATCCATTTCTTGCTTATGAAATGCTTGAGATGTGTTATGAGCATTTGAAACTACATGAGAATCTATCTTGAATAAAACTAATTTATTGAAATGCAGGAAATTGAGTTTACGGCAATGCTTCTTGCTTTGTTCTAAACTCAGACAATTACTCCCGTCTCCTGTTTGGTGATTGGGACATCTAAATTTCAATGTTTGTGGTCTATAATCATTAGAAACCGGAGACAGGATTGACTGGACATAAATGTATTATTATTTGTAATCGTAATGATGATGTATTTTTCCCTTAAACGTGCTCAACTTTTAATATCATTATAGTTATATTAACATAAGCCTCATACTAATTAACTATGAAACTCAATATGATCATGCTATTGTGATTTTAGTTCACACGGCGTAGCCGCGGGTATTGATTCTAGTTAAGAACAAAAGAAAGGCAAAGAGGTTTTATGGAAAAGGACACGAGGAAGCTGGGTTTCCAAGAGAGATGTGTGAATTCAGTAATATATTGATGTGCATTATGTTAGTTTCGTATTCCGTTCCAGTAAATGCACACAAAATCATCGAGTTTCTACTGACAAAGGAACTGCGCGAGACACGATTATCTTCTTATTTGTTTCTTATTTGTTAATGCAATATATCAACCATAACTATTAAGCAGCGGGAAATTATAGCACGCGATATCACAAACATCGAGACGAGTTCGAATCCAAAGTTACTTTGGTATACACAACGTAGCTTCAACACATTGAGTACTCTACTCGATCGATCGGAGTAGTACAAAAGCAGCAACCCACCATAGCTAGCTAGCTAGCTAGGTGCAGATGTCGTAAGCTGTCTCGTACCTCACACAACAGCCATCGAGCCGGACAGTCCCCCCGGCTCGGCCTGGGCACACATCTTCCAGGCGGCCAAAGCCATCGTGTAAACACTGGCGGCACTCGTCACTGGGCGCACCGTCGCAAGTAAAAGAGGCATGCACTAGAAGATCGACATAAAATCTCGAGTAGCAACCCGTAGTGTTGCCGTCTTCAAAGCCATATTCCGCAAAATAGCTCAACATTGAATTCTGAAGGAAAGGTGACGGCAGCGGAGCTGGGCTGCACCTCCCCGTGCCGTCATCGCTTCCTGCGCATAACGTAGAGTCAAAGCAGCTTATAACCTGCAGCAGGCAGCAAAAAATGGTTACTAATTTTACTAGCACTGCCATTAATGCCCTCGCCATTCTCATCTGTTATTAGGGTGGATTCGATGGAGGTGTTTGATATTGGATGGATGAATTGATTGGACTTATATATCAACTTCAACAGGCAGTTGGATTTGCTTTGCTTTGTTTTATTACACGTGGGGACGAAAGGAGAGTGAAAAAGAATCAGTCTACTCAGGAACTGGGTTTGCAGGTGAATACAAAGAAGGCGGTTAAGCCAATTGATGTATAGTTGATGTGATGTAAACACTGAACTATACCTGCTACGTGACATGAGTGTGTCCGGTCTTGCCGGGTTCTTTCAATAAGACAATATATTCCTTCTGCATGGCTAACCAACAAATTAAAGGTGGGCTTGCGTACGTAACCGGCCGGCTCTAATTAGGCGTCTTAGCTTTGAAGGGATCGAGAATCGGTCATTGGTTTATTGGACGTGATCAGTTAGGGTTTTATGCATTAGAGGATGAGGAAGTTACGTATAATATACGTATGTGTTTTACTTCCTCTATGAGCTAATGTTACGTTTAATAGTATGTTAATAGTTATAAATATATAAAAAAATTAATTATTTTTGAAATAAATAAATATATAAATAATAATTATAGTTAACAATTTAATTCATTAAATATGGATATTAAACATGTTATACGGGTTTTATACGTGTTTAGTACGAGAGCCATCAAATGAACGAATAAAATGAAATGGCTTGACAAGAATATGGATACACAACTTTTAAATGGATAAAGTACATATGGGAACATATGTGTGCATTAAACGGAGTATTTACTAACTATGCTCCCAATAACTCGAGTTATTAGGATCAACGAGTTATTGACATCGTATTTGAGTCTTCTGTGATCGAAATGCGCGCATTCTTTGTTTTGCACTTGATATTCGGACCTGTGCAAACTTCAACCACTACAAAAAAAAGGAGCATTACCGAGGGGAATTGGGTGGATGGGTTTCATTCCTGTCGTTAGAAGTAATCAATTAACAAACCATTTATTTCCTGTCGGTATTGATATCAGACAGTAGTCTTTTCACATGGGTCCAAAAGTCCCCTCGTTATCTGTAGGGGAAAAGTTCAAAATTTCAGTTTGAAAAACTTTCAGAGTCCGCCAATTGTTAGAATTTAGCGGCAAATTTTCCCTCTATGGTTATCAAATAAAAAAGATAAAATCCTTTACCTTTTATCTAGTACTTGGACCCTTACCTTTAATTACAACCACAAAAACATATAGATAAAGGCGCCCTCTCATCTTTACTCCGTCCCTCATCTCCATTCTCCAGATTTCCTCCATTGAACATACACTATCTTCGTCTCTTCCTCCTTAAACTACTTTATCTATTCTCCCAATATCCAAATAAAAAATCCCTCTACCCCTTCCTCCAACGAATCTCTTTCCCTTTCAAATCTACCCACCTCGTTCAATGGCCAACCCAGACCTCACCAGATCTACCTATCTCACAAGCTCCACCAACCCATCGAAATCTCTGACCTCCTCAGCTATCAGGCCTTCGCCGCATACATGGCCGCTCTTCCTCGCAAAGTTCGTTGCTGCTCCTTCGGATTCGACCCCCTCTGAACTCTGTGGCCACGCCTTCTTTTCCTCCCCCGCTCATTAGATCGAAAAGAAGTCTCCCTCTAGAAAGAAGAAAGGACAAAGCCACAAAGTCGATGAGAAGGAGGAGTTCGAATAATTAATGTGGTCTTAGAGGAAGAAAAGTTCTGGGAGTTGTAATCTTATACACTAGCTTGACCTTAATACCATTTTCTGGTTCTATTTTTTTCTTCTTTTGATTGACTGATGTATGTCTGTGATTGTATTTTATAACTAGCTAGCTAGATGGTTCATGGCCTTCTGAATTAATATTTGGAAGATTGGGTAAAATCTGTTTGAGTTTGCATAACCGAGGCAGATTAACCATTATAATAACCAAGATTGAGATCAATTGATTAATAACGTCTTAATTACCTCCAAATATGGTTGGATAATAATTGCACATCTCGGCTCAATTTTTTATTATTATTTTATATTATTGGACAGCAACAACGAGAGGAAAGAGACCCCTCGTAGAAGGCTTTAACGATGGGATGTAAAATTCCCCTCGTAATTGGCTTTTAACGGCGAAGCCTGTAATGAGGGGTGGTTTCCTGTCGTTAATGGCTTTCAACGATGGGATTTGAGCTTTTAACGACCGTTTTCTACCCTCGTTAAAATCACTTTTTTTTGTAGTGAACATTATATGTGGCGGCTTTCGTTTGAAGAGTGTGTTAGTATATGATATATGATCCATAACTGAACCTCTCACAACAATTCGAGTTATATATTGGGACCTATTAGTTCTTGACGTGGTATCAGAGTCTTATATGATCGAGAGATATTATGTCCATTGCTGTCAAATGACATATATTCTCATCGTCGTAACTTTTGGTGATATTCAACGGGGAAAAATTTCGAGAGGCACTCGCCGGCAAAGTCAGCGAATATGTCTTCCTGAGAGGCACTCGCCGGCAACGGATGGTGGCTGCACGTCCCCGTGCTGTCACTTCCTGCACATAACGCATCATCAAAGCAGCTCACCAGGCAGCAAAACATGGCGCAAATTGCCAGCAGAAGGGTTATAACTATTTCTACTACTGCTAATTTTGTCGCCATTTTTCCCCCCTTTTTTCTTTTGTGTTTGGGTGCATGGAGGAGGGTGTTTGATGTTGGATGAAACGATTGCCTAATATATATCAACTACAGACAGAGCTTGGCCCGCACAGCAGGCAGTTGGATTCGATCGCATTGTTTTAATTTGTTTGATTAACACAGAACGAAAGGAGAGTAATCTACCTAGCTAGCTAGGAAACTGGCGTGGCAGAATGAGTACAAAGAAGGCGGTTCAGCCAATGATGTAGGGTTGATGAAACCCGTGGCGGATCCAGAAATTTTATATAGGAGTGTCCTCTCCTAAAAATTAGATAAAATTATTTATTAAATAAAAATATCCGATTTGTACGAAATACAACAAAGCACATGAAGTGTTCGTATTTTGGAAAAATTGTAAAACACAATCGTTGTCTAACAACTCTCGATAGATCCTACTAGACCAAGGAGACTAGAGGAGTCCTTGATTGATTTTAATCGTTAGCTTTTGAAAATAATTGGAGATAAGAAATATTTTTTCACTATTATATTTGGATTTAAAATATAAGAACAAATGAGTTGTATTCTAATGAAAAATATGACTAGCTATAGTAGTAACAATGACCAAGTTCAAATCATATATACTAACATTTAAATATTTTTATTTACTCATGCAAACTACTATTGAGATTTGGATAATCATTTTTGCAAATTTTATTGGTGTCCCACTACCATTTAAATATTTTTTTATCGATATATAAACTATTACCGGATATTGAATAATCGTGCTTCCAAATATTAGAGTTGTCCAGATCTATGGATCCGCCACTGGATGAAACATTACCATATTGAGTATTGACGATAACACCAAAAGTTGGCTGAGAACCCTAGACTTGATTTTTTTTTCTTCTTCTTATTCGTCTCTTCGTAATTCAAATATGCATGGAATTTGTTTCATCTCAATTCTCTCTAGTGGCTCGTAGTTTAATTCGATTTCATCTCATTCTTCTCGTAGTTTAAGTAATAGGCAAGATTTTGACCACTACATGACAAGGCGCGGTGTGCTAATTAACCTACATTTTGACAAGGCAACAAGGCTTAATTAAAGCCAAAGGAGAAACAAGAAAAGAATTATGACGAAAAGAGAAAGGTGCATTGCTTCGGAAACACCAACCCATCCAGTCAAAATATCATTCATGGTTGAGAACTGTAATTCGACCGCGGAGTATACGTACGTAGTACAAACTTAGTAAACTTTATGATCATCTCAGATCGACAAAAAAATTCAAATCACACTTGTAAATTGAACTTTGTCGGTACATGATATAAATTGA